TAGACCCAAGTACAAACCCAAGCACTCATCATTTATTCCTCATTTAGTTTTTCTTTTAATAAATAAAATATATTAGAGCATTTTTATTGGTTGTCATGTATTCTAGACCTAATACTTTTTTGTTTTGCATTGGATAGATTTTGGATTTTTTAGTTTGGGTTTGTCCATATCATTATGGACTTAAGTCTATTTATTTGCCACATATGCAAAAAGAGACTCAAAGCATTGTGGATGCTCTAAAGGGATGAGGGGTGTGAAATTATTATATCAAATCCCTTACCAAAAGGAGATTTGTGAGAAAAATAAATGTGGTTAGGTAGAGATAAATGTGTATGTTTAGGGCATTTTTTTTTTCTTAATTTAATTTATTTTTCTTTTGTATTGTTGTTTGTATTATATGTCTTTCAATATCATGACACAAATTTATAAATCATGTATCAAATTGATTAATTGTGTAGCATAGGACAAAATATTTTTGTTTTGGAACTTGATGAAAATATTGTCTCATCAATCTTGTTGAACTTATTTAGGATTAAAGGATGAGGTACAACGACACTGCGAGCGGCAAGTCATTTGATGGGTCGACGTAATTATTGGACTGACGTACCATTATTTTGTAAATTGTTTAGGCTGAAAAAGTAAATGCTTAACGATTCTAGAAATAATGCTCGGATTTTGTGAAAAGTAAATCAGGATTCTGCGATTCAGTCAATATGCGAGCAATTTCTAAAAGAAGATATTTGATTTTTTTTTTCGTGGATCATGTCTTTTAAGGACAATAATGCGAGGTTTGACTGCGTACAAAATTTATGATGAAATCTGTAATCGTTTTTACAATTTTAACACAATCTTTAATACAATTTGAAATCGCTCACTTTTATAGAAATCACGATTACACATTATGGCGATTTAAATTAAATATATTTCAACAATAGTCGATATTGTGATTATGGCGATATTGCAACCACATGATGCCAAGATACGTTCGAATTTATGCCAATTTATTTTTGAATTTTCACGCAACTACAAAAAATAATCTAATGAAAATCGGCCTCAATTTGCGCGGAAAAAAAAAATCCAATTTTTGTGTCTTCTATTAATTCATCATTTGAGTATATGAACTATTTTTTCTTTAAAAAAAGGGAAAAGAACAAATGAATTAGCTTTATTTGGCTAATTAGTCCCACCAACCATGTAGCATGGGCACATTTTGAATGAGTTATTTGGTTTCATGTATGTTTTCTAATCTAAAAAATAGAAAATATATATATATATATATAAGTAATTAATACAACTTATGTGACATATTTTTCCTTTGCCATTGAACTTTGTACTATAGGTAGGGTAGATAGTGTACCATGTACTAGTAACAACCTTAGTGTAATGGACATCTATGTAAAGTCATATAGGAAGTTAGAAATATTCATGGGACAAGTTTAAAACAATTTACTAAATTACAAAGGACCAAAGATAAATTTTTTGGTGCATGTGCACTGGGGGGTGAAATGCAATTTCCCTTCTCTTTGAGGGTCACGTGGAAATTAGGTCAACTTTCAATGACAAAGCACACATATATAAGCCCCCAACACACACACACACACACAAATGCACGCATCACGAGAAGGTCCACAAACCTAATTAACAGTAATAAATATATAGAAGTCAATATGTGGCACTTGGGATGATCTGGAATTTCATAATTTAAGGTAATTATTGGATGGCAATATATATATATATATATATATATATATATATATATATCAATTGATATATTAAAAATTGATAATATATATATAGTGGAGATAATATTATAAACATAATTAACAAATATCCGCCAGTCAGTAATTCTATACTTAAAATTAAGAGTTTATATTTATTTTTTCATGATTTTTTTTTTTATTATTGAAATTATTGATTGTGAAATCCATCTATTATATATTGGTTCACTTGAAACATATGTTGAGTTTTTGTCTTGTAACCAATAATGTTCCCTTACCCACGGTAGACACATGTTAATATGTCTATCGCTTATGTGGCATGCGCATATTAGTGATGTATTTTTTGAACATATTAACATCACCAATGTGTGCATGCCACATAATATGTCCACCGTAGGTAGGGGAGCATTACTCAGTAACTATATGTTAAGAACAAATTAATATAATATATATGATAAAAAAAAATATTATATTAAATATTTGATAAAAAAATAATTTTAAACATATTATATAACTTTTATCATTTCTGCATTTAATTTATATTATTATCTAACTCTCTTGCTTACGTTGCTATTTAATTATTTTATTTTACTTTTATATGTAAGATTTTTTCACTTCTATTTAATTTCTCTAATATTGTACTTTATTTATCTTTTAATTATAATTAATTTCAATATATAAATATTATATTAATTTATTTTTTTAATAAAAACGTACAACTATTGAATTTTATTTATCGAATTGCATCATATGGTAAATGTGGATTAAATTAAACTTAAAAACATATGATAAAAAAATTTATTAATATAATAACAAATTATTTGAATATATTACATAACTTTTATCGTTTCCACATATAATTTTATATTTGTTAAATTAATATTTTCTTATAAAAAAAATCTTTACTTGTGTATAATTTCTCCATTTTTTTATTTATATTCATATTTTATAACATTCAAATTACAAATATTGAACTAATTAATATTTTATAAAACGTACAGCTCATGCACGGATACATAACTAAAATACAGTAAATTAAAAATTATTTAGTGTGTAAGCAGTGAGCATTAAGACATGATAACACGTCACGTAATAATGTCTACCAATGCAACTTCATTATCTATAAACTTCAAAAAATTAATATAATTACGTGATTGATACTTTTGAGTGTCAATATGCAATTTATTAGTTTGAATTGGAAAAATAAATATGTATGCATTTTGTTTTATAATTTGTATATATATATATATCAAATGCGTATTTAGAAACTGATTATTATATCAAAATATTAATTATTAGTATGTGAATAATGATTTATATCAATAATGTTAGTAATAATTGAATTAAATTAGTTTAAAATTTATATTTATGAAAATGAAAAAAAAAATGTGAAATGGATGTATAATATTTTTTTTTTTTTAATTTCCAGAACTAATTTAACAAAATTCTTAATTTCCTATATATAAAAAAAAAAAAGTAATTTCCCTTACACAATCTTTTACTTTCTAGTGAGACCTATGAAAATATTAATTTTTATGAAAAGATGGTTGTAAATAATTTGGCAAATTTGGAATTCCATAAATCAATTTTTATGTCCGTTTTACGAAATGGGTTATGCATATATAAATAAAATTTGCTAACTATATTTCATCATATTTTCACCTAATGGCCAAAAGGATATAATAATAATAATAATAACAATAATAATAATAATAATAATAATAATTTTTGTTTTCAATTATGATAGTGGAATGTTAAATAAATGAAATAAAATGAAACTGAATAC